TTATTCACTAATACCACAAGATGTGGTTACCTTCAGCACAAATGTTCAATACAATAATTAAAAATTCTTACCCATATCATTCAGTTTTATTAACACATAAACCACAAATTCTGCAGTTCCCTCAGGGTGCATTATCTGACACAGCAATGAGGCAAGACACGAGGCTGACAGCAGAGAATTTTCTACCAGAGTATCCTATGGAAAAACAAGTAAATCGAAGAAATGCACATCTCCATGATTCTTACAAAACACAGTCTTAAATACACTTATCACAAGTTATACTTAATTTTGTTAATTTATAATACAGTTAATGTGTGTATATATATATATATATTTAATTCTTTTTAATTATGCATACCTTTTTTTGTATAAATTCTATAAATAATTTTGCAAAGTCCATAAAAAGTTCTGGAGGATATGGATAGGTTTCACATTTCAACAGCATGGGGGGTTGAATTTCCCGGAGAAATACCTGAAAAAATATAAATACTGATAAAGCATTTATGTTCTGATATTTACAGAAAAGGTGTAAAGTATATATATATACAACCATAGTTTTTAAATGTGATTTTTCTCTAAGTCTAATGTCCGTATATATATGTATAGACACACACAGAACAAAATCAATTCTAAATGTTTAATTTGTGAATAATTAAAATTAATAAAAGGAACGATGTACCAGTAAAAGTTAGTGACTAAGAAAACATTTCCAGTTTCTTATTTTTACCCCCAGTGGTACAGAAGTAAATCTGGAGACTTGTAATGCTAGAAACTGGGTTTTGACACCCATGGTGAGAACAGCACAGATTGTGTAGCTTTGTGCTTAACTACAAACAAAACCTTTTGTTTTTACAAATAGTAACAAATCCATTTAATGTGAAGCTACAGGTGGTTGCTTGGAACAATCTGAAATACATGTTTTTTAAACTTGTGATTTCATAAATTTTTTAACAATGTATCAGTATACATACTTCTATGAAATAAAACAAAAACTAGGACACATCCGAAACCCTATATTATAGCCTGTACTCTGGTGACTGTTTGGTTGTGCAGCACCTTGGCTAAGGCTTGTTTTGTACTATAAATGTGTGTGTGTGTGTATATATATAAATTACAGTCAAGATTTACAATAACTTAAAAGTTTAAACTAATCTTTTGAAATGACTTTGAAGTGACTTAAGCACAAACTATTAAAAAACAATAGAGTAAGCCTATGAAAAACAAATACAGTAGTGACACTGACAGAATGTTTTCCTTTTCAAGAAAGCTGAAAATGTAAGGTTACAAATATACATGACTGTCAAACACACATAAGTTGTCACAAGTTTCGACATGACTAAGTAAAGAATACTGAATAAAAAATATGCCAGATATTCTACTGTAAGTCCTAAGTACGAAATTCATTTTACTAACTGTATTATTACTTGTATTTTGCATTTTTAGTTATCAAAAAAAAATGTTGTTAGGTATTTAGAATGAAAAAGAAGTTAACCCCTATCAAACTCAGTCTCAAGTAATTGATCATTAAATAAATACATTTACATGTAAAACCAAAACCCTAGGCCTGTTTAACCAAATTACTTATGAAATTTAAAAAGTAGACTAATTTTAATATACAGAAAACTACCTTAAAGTTAATATAAATTATAATTTATATAATAGTTATGTTAAACTGCCTTTAATTAATCGTAGAAGTTTAACCAAGGTATAATAATATAATTTTTAAATTTAAGATACTCGTAGTTGTAATTAAAAGTAAAAGTTACCCTTAAAATATTTTGAATCTTTTTTTCACGAACATTCTGCTCCAGCAGCTGTTTATAAATTGAAATTAAGTCCTTGCACATAATGAGATATGTTTAGAATACAAATTTTACAATTACAAATTATAAGTTGAATTTTAATAATAACTTTTGAATTGAAATCAAAGTATGTATTTGTTCCCACATTTCCACGATTCCTTCAATAACACATTGCTTCTTCCGAGAGGGCGACACTATTACTAGTTCAATAGATGGCTCTGTAGATTCATTGAGATGTTTTCGCCTAACAAATAAATGCAACAACGGCAAGATAAAAACGGAAAATATAAATAAACAAGATAAATAAAAAACCGTGAATTTAAAACCTACAAACAGGGATCATAAAAGGTAAGAAAACAAGGCTACAGATACTGTAAACATTATTTACTCAAACTACAAACCCCTATTTTGACTTAATGATGTTACCTAGAATTATAATGCTTGGAGACGGCTTGAATGGGTAATGAAGAGAAACTTTAATATAAGTTTAACATAACAGTAAATGTACAACTTTTCGACAAGGTTTTGTCATCATCAGGTACAAGTAATTTACGCTGAAACATATATATATATATGGCAGATTTTGTTAAACAAGACCGATGACTGTAGGTTTATTTTCTTCTTAGAATTCTTCTCAAGAAGTCGATAAGCCGTCTTAACGTTGTTAGAACAACGGGTAAAAGTTGTAGCTAGTGATGAGTTGGCCGACGCGTTTCGAATGCATTCTGCATCCATTATCAAGGCTGAATGTTGGCCCATACCTATAAATATCCACCAACAGTAATCACAATTCACTAAGCAGGTGGTGGTATCTAGCTCGTGGAAGGCGTTAATTGGTGGAGTGTTGTATTGTGGCTTGGGGGTTTCTCGCCAAGAAGTAGCAGTGTGCGTGCTGTTCCTGTCGATTGTTTGTTGATTATGGGAAGGCGTTAATTGGTGAAGTGTTGTATTGTGGCTTGGGGGTTTCTCGCCAAGAAGTAGCAGTGTGCTTGCTGTTCCTGTCGAATACATATATACATACATACACAAACGTATGAAGATGAGGCAAGTAGGCAGTAGTGAAGGCAAGTCCAAGCCGTGGCAGAGGCCGGTTGAACTTTGAAGAAGGAGCAAGTCAGCAGTTGATTTTGATAAATTATCGAAATGAAATGAAGCAAACGGGCCTTTACAGGGCCTGGCGGGGATCAGTGGATCCAAGTGCCAAGGCCAAGTGACGAGATCCGAACTGGCGAGCTCACAAAAACCGTCGTTCATACAAGTGTAATCTCGAAATGATTTTCTCTGGGATACCAAGGCCACTAAAGGTTTCTTACTCTTGTTAACGTGGTAAGCTTCAGGTTCGATCCCGGCGGTGTACATAGCTATTACTGATAAGTGATGGATATCGTGACCTGTTCGCGAATGCACTGCTTTTGCCGAAATGCCTGTGTTCAATCCACTAAAGTTGAGGATCCTTCTAAAAAAAATCCAGCTTCTCTAGTTCAAGAACCTTCTACAACTTTAGAGAACAGGCGGTAGTTTCGCAATACATGTTTAACAGTATAACTTATGTACATTTCTAAATACAAGTTTAATTTAAACAAACATCGATATTAATATATATATGGTAATAAATCCGTCACATTCCGAAGTTTATAGCACACCAACTATACCAAACCAATAATAGATACTGTTCTTGACGCGTCGCATTGGTTATATTTAAGGCGTAGTGGAGAGTTTTCCGACATTTCAG